CCCCCCAGGGTCCCTCTGACCTGAAGGCTGGTACACCTCTAACTGCCTGCCTGGAGTCACTGATCACTGCTTCCGTGTCTGCAGGCTGTCGGATTCTGTGATCGGTGCTCCTCTGAGCACCATGCCCTGTGGGCTGGGCTAGCTGCTCTGCTTTGGTGGCCGGCTGCTCTCTTTCTGGGAACTGCTCAGCCTGCTCTCTCTGTTGCACGCCGCTGCCTCTGTGACCCTTTCTGGGGCTGGAAATACTCTCTTTGGCACTCTCCCCACTAATCTGGAGTCTAATGCTGCTCTGGAAGTGCCGTAAGCCAGCTCTGGGGGTTGCCTGTGCTATAGTAAGTCCAGGATGCTGGTCGTCCCTCTCTCAGGTACACTGTATTCTTAGATATACTGGAAGGTTTCAGATGAACAAATAATTGGCTATATCCTCAGATAGTGTCAGCTGATGAAGCTTCATTGACTTCAGTGGAGCTGGACGTCAGTTTACACCAGCTGAAGATGCAGCACATTGACTCTTATTGAATCATATCCTCTTCAAAGTATCGGTCCTTCTCTGGAAGGAATTATGCACAGCATTCTAAATCTTTCTTTATATCCTTGCAACATTGTTATGAAAATCTATTGGCCTCTGTACAGAGTTTACTTGCTTATTGTTTTTCATGTTGATAATGATAACACACACACATGTCTTCCACCCAAAAGCCCCCAACTTTTCCTGAGAAAGTGAATGAATGGAGTTTTCCAAGGGTCATTTAAGGGCTAGTCTCTAGAAAAAAAACAACTTACGGTGCTTTGCCAAGCAGTGGGATGCTCAAACTTTCTGAACTGCCCCATGCCTCTCTTCCTAGCCAAAAGCAGTGCAGGTGATCGCTGCAGGTGGCTAATTAGCGTTGATTCTCAGCATTGCTAATTTGCCTTTCCACCAAGCCATGTGATCAAGGTTACACTGTTCTCTGTTAGAGAGGCAGTATTCAAGGAACACTGCAGCATGATTGGAGATACTGCTGCCTGGCAGTGAAACCTGTAAATTGTCATGTCCACAGTGTCCTTGAAGCATTTTCTTCTTACATAGAGTTAATCTACTGTGTGACCATTCTCCCTTGGGATTTTGTGGTTTTTAAAAACCTGTTGAAGCTCTGATAATGAAAACTTCCATACTCCTGCCACTTCTAGCATATCCTATCATGTCATTTTGGAAGCCAGTACCTAGTCTTATCCAGCTTAATAACTTTCTAATTAAATGTTTATTTAATCAATTATCTTATTAAAATTCCACATCATAATGCACTAAGACATTTGCATACCATTGGTTCTTTTTTCCCCCACTGCTTTCTCAATGGTAGAAAGTGAACAGAAGTAGAATACGGGGTCAGTCAGGATATTTGTCTTTTAATTATTTATTTCTGATGCATTTGCTGTTTTACTGTTGAGTCAGGTATTAGTAGTTCTGAAGCCTGTGAAAGTGAAGTGTTTTCCTCACACGTTATATTCCTCTCACTAGCACTCATTCTACAGTGTATGAGATACTTATCAGGGGATACATTTGTAGGCAGCCTGACCCAGTGGACAGGTTATTAGACAGGAGACCTGGGTGGGATTCCCAGCCTTTCTGTTGGTCTGCCATGTGATCTTGGGCAGGTCATTTAACTTATTTGTACCTCAGTTTCTGTGTCTGTGAAGTGGGAAGAGCAGTGCATGCTTAGCTGTAAAAAAAACAACAAAACCCTTGATGTCTATGGATCAAAATATTATTAATTATTATTAAGCTTTTGACCTTAAAATAGGCTGCTAACAGTATGATCAGTCAATGAGCCTTTGATTGCATGATCACCTGCCTACTGAGAGCTTTGTTGCTAGTTAGGTCTCCTGAACCAAAAACCAGTCATGACTTGATGATCCTCAAGTTACAGCAAGGGAAGTTTTAGGTTAGATATTAGGAAAGATTTTCTCACTAGGAGGGTAATAAAGCAGTACAACAGGTTACCCAGAGAGGTGGGGGAAGCTCCATCCTTGGAGGTTTTTAAGACCCAACTAGACAAAGCCTTGGCTGGGACCATGGCAGGGCACTTTTGGTGCCTGACACTTTAGGAGCAGCAAACAGGCCAGGTGCTTGCTGAGGGAAGCCATTTTGGCCCAAGGATATAACCTGGGCTGCAATTTTACTGCAGGAAGGAAGGAGGAAACATCAGGCTGAGAGGCTGCTCTGGCCAGAGTGAGGAGGTAAAGGCAGGGGCTATGGGGAGAAGGTGACCCCTTGTCCTGGGTAAGATGTAAAACTACATCCTGCTGGGGAAGGTGGTCTAGTGGGGCTCCTAGTGGCATGGGAGCCACCAGGAAATGCCAGGCCAGATATCTTCCTGGTGAAAGGCGGGCCGGGAAGCCTTATAACCTCAGGCCCACATCCCTGGTGGTGTTCTGGCAAGCAGGGGGAGCCCAGGGCTTGCTAAGGAGCCCTGAGGCAGAGCTCAGGCTGGAGAAGGGACCTGGGGCCATGCCTAGGCAGTAGGGTTAAGTCAACCACCTACAAGCAGAGAGACCCTATGTGAGAGGGGCAATGAGCAGGGTGGCCCTGAGAGTGTGGGCGCATGTGGAGGCCCAGTGTGGGCATAGTGGCCCAGTGAGGGGCTAGGAGTGGAATAGGCCGGCAGTTGTAGAATTGCTCAGTCAATGCTCAGGTGAGGGTAGCAGGAGACACCCAACAGACTGCGCCAGGGCTGACCGAGGCGAGGAGAGATAAGCCCGAAGCCAGGTGAGGCTGGGCAGGATGAGCGTGGCCCTGAGAGAGGGCAGTATGAAAGAGGCTGGGTGGGAGCCAGCAGAGTGAGTGAGACCCCGGTGAGAGAGGGGTGGTAGGTGAGTGGCCCTCTGGGGCTGTAGAAAAGAGCTACAACTGTGTGCCCAGTTTGCTCCAGCCATAGGCTGGAGAAGTAACACCAGACTAACATCTATGAGGCATGGGACCCATGGAGGGGAGGTCACACCGGGTATTAGGCCCTTGTCAACCGGGTGAGTAATGGGTAGCCTCCTGTAACAACTCTTACATATTTTCATCAAGGCACAGCAGGTGAGCGAAGTGGGTAGTTGCCCCAGGAGCAGGGCGGCCAGTGAAGACCTGATGAGGAGGCCACCCTGTTACAGGGACAATCTAATTGGGGATGGTCCTGATTTGAGCAGCAGGTGGAATAAATGACCTCCTGAGGTCCCTTCCAACCCTAATTTTCTATGATTCTGTCCTCTATCCTGTATAGTTTTAGAATCAGCACATTCCAGGTTATCTGGAAACACCCATCATTTGGGAATGTGTGGCATGCAACACCAGTTCAGACATGATTTCTCTCATTTACAGCACTTCTGGCTTGGAACTCAGGGTGGCTTAGGAGCTCGCTATGTCAGCTTTACTCCAGCTGAGAACTCTAGTTTGCTGTCGCAATTCTCAGCTAGCCAGATAGGGGTAACATCCTCTCCTTTCATGTCACCAAACTAGGTGTCAGAACTGGACCTGAATTTTGGTAGAAACTCTTTTTCCCTGCATGCTCATTAGTTTTAGTTAATTATTTAGTCATTTGTATCAATCTTATTTCTAATGCAACCATTTGATTTACTAATTAGAGCCTGGACTGATAAAATCTGTTAAACCCACTGCAGTGTCTTGTACCTTGTATAATTATTTACCTCTCTGTAAAATGCATGTAAAAATGATAGCCATTACAATGATAGCTGGTAGATCAGATGTAAATTACTATACAAGGAGGAGAGTCCTATTACACCCCACACAACCATCTGCTGTTGTTTTTCTGTAATAAATACTCTCCAGTTATTTTACTGGATTCTGTTTTCTCAGTCTTTTGTCTGGTATGTTACTGTTCAAAGATTTCTCAGCTTTCTTCATTCAAAATGGGTCCTAGCTTTTAAATATCTCTATTTGTTCCTCTATCAAGTGCAACTCCCAGTTTCTTTCTCAAAGATTTGGTTGGTACAGTCACTGTGTGAATCTTGGAACCAGGAGTTTGCTTTTCAATTTGACCGATCCATCAATAATTGTTTTTGTCTATGTAATTTGCCTCCATCAGTGAAGAAGCCGTGGAGCCTAGAATTTCTTGAGTCATTGTATAACTAGGCAGGGCTTTGCTTTGCTTGCTTGGTTCTTATTCGTGCTTCTTTTTTTACCCACTAATTCCTCGTATTCCCTTGTCTTGTCTTTTTTTCCTCTTTCTGTGTTTACTAGGTTCAATTTTCTCACGTTCTGTGGTGTTTTGATATTTTAGCTGTCCCATATGAAGTCTGGAACAGAGGTCTGTGCTTGTCCACCCACATGGTGTCATGTGCTATCCTTCATCTGACAGTTTCATATTATGAATTCTTCCTCTGTACACACATGGGAATGGTATCCTCGTAGATCATGTACCTGAAAGAAGAGCTTAATAGAAAGTTGTCATTCAGAGTAATCTCTCCCAATGTGTCTGAAGAGCAGTGGGATTGAATTTGGCTTTCTTGTAAGTTTTAAAAATGTTTCTTAATGATAGGTGCCTACCTGTTTGTAAGATTTGCACATTATAGACTAACTAAATTGGGGATGCATACATTTTCATAACCAGTGACTGGCTATATCTGATGAAGTTGTACCTTACAAAAGCATATGGTCTCTGATTTAGTCTATAAGGTGTAAATCTACCCAGCCTTCTGCCTGATTTAAGACTAATGCAACTAACTACTTTTCTCTGTTAATGCCAGGTAGCCACAGAAAAAGACTGTTTTGAGAACAGGAATAGAGGCTCTCATAAAGTTAATGAGTCTTTAACTTCAGAGCTTACTTCTTTCTTAATCAAAACAATCTCCTTTAGATAGATGATTCCAAAACTTAATTTTGGATTGACCACATTGCTGAAAAATGTCCAGAGGAATGATTCTTGTGCTTCTTTTAGGTGTCTCAAAGTTTTAATAACTTCGATCATCCGCAATAAAAATTGTTTTCACAGGTTCAGGGGGAATGTAAAAATGACCATCCCATATCAGACCAATGATCCATCTGTTCCATGATCTCCAACAGTGGCCAGCCCTAGATATTTCAAATGAAGGTAAAAGAAACCTTATAAGATACAGTATTAACTTGCCCTTAAGGGAAATTACTTTCTAACCTCTATCAGTTAGTTGGTGACTCAGGCCCTGAAGCATGAAGATGTATCTCCCTTCTAAACTTCAAAATATTACATTCAGTTCATCTGTGAGTGCTCACACTATCTTTTTAAATGAACCTTATTTAGGGCTTGGCCCCAAATGTTTTGAGGCAATGAGTTTTCATCCGAATTATACACTTTTTTTTTTAAAGAAGTATTTTCTTTTACAAGTTTTAAAATAGTCACCTTTCAAATTGGTTTAATGGTTGAATTCGACTATAATGGTGTTGGTGGTGTTGTGTTGGGGGGGTTGATTATATTAGGGAAGTCTGAGCACCTGATCTACCTTTGCTGTATACTACTCATTGGGTACATCTACACAAGGTGCATTAATGTGCATTAGCCTAATTTAATGTACATTAAGTGTGTGTGTCTACATGTGCATGCTCTTAATGCGCATTAAAAATGGCAAATTTAGGCTAATTGTGCCTAAATTTGATATCTGTAAATGCAGGTATCAAATTTAGGCATGATTAGTTAAAGTGCATTAGTGCACGTGTAGACACATCTTGGCACTAACTTTAGTGCCAGGTCTGATCAGCCAGTAGGGGGCCGCCCTGAGCCCAGCCCCAGGGCTCCTGGCTGGCCACCTCCCCTCCCCCAGGGCTGTGCTGCTCTCTGGCAGCCCCTAGCTATAGGCTTTAAAGACCAGAAGCTATTTTGTGCCCTGGGACACGCACACCAGGAGCCTATACAAGACTACTGATCTGTGCAGGAGCCCAGAACACCATGTGTGCCCCTCTGGACAGGCCACAGCCTGCCCCTTCCTGGCCTGTCCCCTGCTCCATAGCTGTTGCTTGGTCACAGGTGAATGTTGCAAAGAGGTGCAGTTTGCTGCACCCCTTTGCCCAGCCCTGGGATCCCCCCAGTGCTGCTGGCTGGCTGTCTCTGCCAGCAGGGCCAGCTCCTGCTCCCTGCTGCTGCTTGCCTCCAGCTGTCTCCTGTGCTTGCAGGTCCTGTGATGAAGTTCCTTTGCCATGCAGCACTGGGCATTGTTGGCAGCCATCCAGAGCTGGCCACGCAGGCATAGCTGTGCAGGGGCCGAGAGCCTGGTGCAGGATGACTGTCATCATCCTCTTTCCTGTTGAGCCCCAGCCCCGCGCACATGCACATACCCATACCAACCACCAGGGCCCCCAACTGGACCCAGGAGGAGGTGCACAACCTTGTGGCTCTCTGGGGCTGTGCCGATGTGCAGGAGCAGTTCGAGCAGGGTGGGTGCTCAAATGCCCACACTTACAAGGTCCTGTCAGGCAGGATGCAGAAGCGAGGGCACTCGTGGTTGGCACGGCAGTACTGCATAAAGGTCCAGGTCTTGTGGATGGCTGTGACCAACTTCAGCCTTCAGTCCAGTTGTGCCCAAAGCCCATGCCCTTTATAAGGCAACTGACCCGCGTTTTGGTGTCCTCCGAGCTAGGCCACACACATGTGGGCAGTGCCGCACCTGGATAGAGAGGAGGATGCCATACTGGGTCCTTTGCCAGCTCTCTGGGTCCCCGGGCAGCTATTGCTGGCTCTTGACAGCTGCCAGCAGCACCCAGCATAGGAGCACGGCAAGGGACTGGCAGCCGTGCATCAGAGGCTATGCTAAACGGCACCTTCAGGGGTAGAGCAGGCTGCTGGGGGTGTGCAGCAGCGAAGTGGTGCTGGCCCTTTTGTCAGAGACAGCCTACAGCTCTGTTCAGCACCCACCTGGCCCAACAGCAGTGCCCTGACAGCTGTGCAGCAGCTCAGTGCTTGGCAGCATTGCTGGGGTGGTAGGAGTTAGGGAGCAGGCCCTGGGTATCCCCTGGCCCTCAGGCTTCCCGTGGTGTGTGCTCCAGGGCACAAAATGTCTGAATGATTTTGGGTTTTTCACTCTCTGTACATTTTTCTAGCCGTTGCTATTTATCTCTGTTTCCTGATCACCACATTTATCCCACAAAATTTAAAAACACTAAAAGAATGACAGACCTACATAAAATAGGTTTGACTCCTTCTAATTGCACCTTTCAATCTTTTAAACTGTCCAGTAAGCACACACATGTGTAGACATGTGTGCTTACTGCACAGTAAACTCAGCAAATGTGCAGTAATGTGCCTTGTGTAGATGTGCCCATTGTTTCATGGATGACTACAACAAAATGCTTATATTTTCAGTGGTGACATTTGTTCTGTTTTTAATTAATTTACTAACTTTCAAAATGTTTTCTTTACATCACATAGATACCTCAAACAGTCTTTTTTTCAATTATTCATATTGTTTACAATGTATTTTCATGTTTCTCCTAATTTCTTGTTTTGTTGTTTTTGTGTGTTCATACAATAACATGACTAGCATCGTAGACAAACTGTTTCTCTTTTTGAATTCTACAAATAATTCTTTTCTATGTGCTATGGAATATAGGTACAATACCTAGGGCTTAGATTGAACAGTGTGGTCATTGCCAACTCTCTTAGTATAACTGCGTTAATCTTCAATTTACATGCGCTCCATTGTTGTAACTAATTCTTATATTCTGAGGCAGCTGAATGAATGATAAGTTGTGAACTCGGTTGTATTGTACTGCTTGTAGTATGGGCCATGTTCTGTCCTCAGTTGTGTTTGTTCCAATCCACTGAAATCACTGAGGTTTGTGTGGATGAAAGAGAACAGAATTTAGCTCAATTACCTTAGCCTACTGGTATATGAATGCTCTCTAACACCATCTGCCTTCTGTGAGAGTTTGCACAAGAATTGGAACAAAAGAGAAAATAGGAGCAAGAGTTCATTAGTAGAACAGAGTGCTCAGGGTTCAGAACTTCCAGTACAGTCATGTTACATGCTTAAATACTGCTTTCCTTGCATGCAGCTGCCTCCTGGCCCTCTTATACATTTTCTATTGTGCCATCTAACAATGGCTTTTGAACATATTTAGTAACAGCAGATTTAATTCCTAACTGGATATGTGAAAAATTCTCTGCATTTTGCTTCATTGCAAATTTTATAGCACAACCAAAACTTTTCCTGAAAAGAGCAAAAAAAGATGTATTCTCCATTTTTGAAGTTGGTAGCCTATAGTTATGAGAAAAGCAGGAAATGGAGATGTTTAGTATGTCTCAAAATTAGGACACTTTTATGTAGGTGCCCAAACATGCATATAAGAATGGGATTTTCAGCACAACCCAGGAAATTTAAGAACCAAATTTTCTCAAAATTCTAATTCTATTTGACACCTGTTGAAAATCTCACCCCAAAGACCTTAACATTTAGTAGACAAATATGAGAGTGTTAGCTTCAGTGCAAATTCTGCAGTTCCCATAACTTTCTCTTCAAATGATGAGAGAAGATCTTTCATGGTGGTGTAATTAGAGATCAGTGGTTGGAACTAATAGCCTTACTGTTGGGTGGGCAATAGTGCTTCAGGCACGGCATGATTATTAAGTAGAATGCGAAGCAGCAGTATCTTCTAAAACAAAAATAACTTACAGGAGCTCCTGGGGAGCTGACTACTTTCTTGATCTTCATGTAAGTGCTAAGTACTAGTGTTCATAAAAAGATCTTAGTGCTAATCCTCCAGTAGGTTCTTTTGAAATATGATATGTTTAACTTTTTTCATACTCTTATAAAAGTTTTTAATATGCCTCCCACACTTCTTTCACTGAATACGGTCTCTGATTTATTAATGCATAATTTAGCCTGGAAATCAGTTTAACTGAATCCCATCTGTCATTCAGCATCAGTTCTTCTATTCTGCAGAATGGTGGTTTTATTTATTTATTTATTTTTTTGAAGACCCATTTTGTAGAGACTGGATCATATCTATGCCTACTTTAAAGAGAGAGAGAATCTAAAAAAAATATCTTTATTGTTTAAAAGATTGAAAGGTGCAATTAGAAGGAGTCAAACCTATTTTATGTAGGTCTGTCATTCTTTTAGTGTTTTTAAATTTTGTGGGATAAATGTGGTGATCAGGAAACAGAGATAAATAGCAACGGCTAGAAAAATGTACAGAGAGTAAAATTCACTTCTGTGCAGAGGCTAATGTGACACCTGCATACTTTGTGAGTCCACTTATAATCTCAAAGTACCACTCAACTGTAAGGTACATACATACCAAGCAAGCTTGCTCCTCCTTACCAAAGTATCTCAGGCCTCATCTGCTATACTCTCAATAGTTCTGTTGATGGTCTGTCCTGAGACTGTGAAGTGGGCAGATATTGGGTGGGCTGAGGCTGCAAACTGATCTGGACTTGCTCTTTAAGATACAATTCAAACATGCATCTCTATAAAGAAGCCTAACAAATGAATCTGTTGTACCACTTAGTCCATAAGAGGAGGAGTGGGAGAAAGGGCCCCCTATGCTGCTTGGCTCACCTCTTCCACGCCCCAAATTGCCCCACTACCCTCCATCAGCGAGATTCTCCTTCACCCTACAATCAGCCCCTACCCCACAGTGGATTGCTCTCCCATCGCTGATTGGCCCCTCCACCCCTGAATCATTGCCCTGACACCCGAGGAAGTCTGAGAGTAGTGTGTGTTGGGAAGGTTCTTTCTCCTTGCCTGCTCCCGTGCTCCTTCCAGCCCATGCTGCCTTCACACACCTGGATCCAGCCCCCAATGGACCCCACAACTGGCTGGCAGCTTCTTGACCCCTTCTGTCCTCCCCACCTCCTGACTCCCCTTCAGTTGTAGGGTCTGGAAGGGATTGTATCTGGGTGTGCAAGGCAGCATGGTCTACAGGCACCCCTGGAGTAGGCGGTGGGGGGGGTGGAACCCCCCCACTGGCACCTCAGCTACTCTTGGGCTGATTGGGGCAGTGATCTGGGTGTGGAGGGACCAATTAGGAAAAGAGGAAGCAATTGGGGTGGCAGTGGAATGATTTGGGGGCCAAGGGAGCAATTTGGGGGCAGGTGGGGCAGCATTCCAGCAGCTCAGCACCCACCCATTTCCTCAGAAATTTATTTAACTCAAGCTATGTAACATAGCTCAAAGATAATCCTTGCCTAGACTGTAGCATAACTTTAAGACACCTAAAGGGCACTTAGCACTTGTTAATGAACCTTAATGTATAATGATGATTCAAGTTTTAAGTGCTCTTAGCATGATCTAATTGTAATGTGTAATATAGACTCATATCCTCTGGATCAGGCACAGAAGAGAGTACCTAAAAGGCACTGACACATGGATTAAATAGGGTTAGAAGTTAAAATCAGATTTTAAATTAGTCTGGTAAAAACCAAGTCCTGAAGTTTGGAAATGAGCAAAGGAAGATTAATGATATTCCTGATGTCAGTTTGGTATTAATTCAGCGAGTCACGACTAAGAAAGTAATTCCACAGAGCGACCCAAGCTTGTGGTGTTGACATCAACCCTTTATTAGTAAACCTTACCCTGTAATCTGCAGGGTGCTGGTAATTAGTGGAATTAGGGATGACCTTTCAAATTTGGTTCAAAATTACTTTGTGATATTTTTATTAGAACCAATTACTACAGGTTTGTAAATCCTCAGATTGGAACATTGTCAGGTTTGAATTAACTCTCTTTCTTTTTGGTCATATTTCACTTCAAGGTTCAGGCTTGTGTTTTTTCTCTGGTTTATTGCTTCTTGATAAGTAAGGCCAGTGACCACAGAGTGTGAGCTCCTCATTATGAGTTTTCTAGAAGCACATGATTTAGACTTGAAATGTACAATGAACAACAGCACCAAAAAGTCTGCTGAGAGCCAGGTAATGCCAGCAAACTGCAAAAAGCCTGAGCACGTAGTTTTGGGCTCAAAAAGTGATTAAATCAGCTGGTGTTAGTCAGAAACCTAACTGCTACTTTCTGTACAAATTGCAAACTACTAAACAAATGAGTTAGAATTCCAGCCAGTATAATCAGTCTGGCAGGACATAAAAACACCTGATCAGCATCTCTAATATAGGAAAAGGAGGCCTACAAGAAGTCTGGAAATATTTTGTTTGCTTCAGACACAGGGTTTCTGCAAGGGCCAAGGCCATTACTTCTGTGCTTTAATGTATTAAATGGATGGGAAGCAGTTACTCTTTAAAAAAGTCTCCCTCCATTCTAAGTATTAATTAGTTAAGCTAAATAGGTGTTAAAGGAAAAGAAACATATTAAAGAGCTGTAAGCAGTTTAAGACCTTGACCACATGAGCACCTGGTGCTGCATCAGGAGCACATGTAAAAATGCCCTATGGTACTCCTTTATGTTTATATCAGTTTACTTTAAATAAGTAGGCTGCAAAAGAAGGTATGACATGAGTGCATGGTTTTCTGTGTAATGAGTACTAAAAAAGAGAGTGAGTCTGAGGAGCACTCAACTTTATGCTGAGCTAGCCTGTATTTGTACATAATGTTTTTATACCACATTACGTTGAAGTCCATTTGCAATTAAGTGGTAGAGTACTAAATGCTTTAACCAAATTTCAGGGACACCTAAGATGGGATCTCTTTATAATTTAGTCATATCTCTAGATAATATCTCACATGACATGGATATTTGACAGCCAGTTTGGTTAAGGTCAGTGGAATTTGTGTGTGTATTTATATTGCAGGTGGTTTCATCAAAACACAAGGTACATTCCTTCACTGTCATGTACCATGTATAATTGTTAACACTGGAGTGAAACAGCTGGACTATTCTACTATGCTGATTAATTTTGCATCTTTTTTGCACACATTTAAATGACAACATGAGAGGTAAGCAGAGGAGAATCAGACCAAGAAACTGCCAGTGTTCCTCAATGATTGCAGGGTTGCTAGGAAAAGTTGAGCATGAGGGAGGACTGTTGAAGCAATGACAAAGAAGAATTGGAGCAATTTTCACTGAAGGAGAAAGATGAGTCAGACTCAAGGAGCACTTCTTTGTTTCCATGGTAAATTACTTGTACAGTTGAATATTGAAATTAGGACATAATAATTGTGTATTTAAAAATAGAGAGGGACCTACATTTAATTCCAGACCGTCAGGAAACTTAATCTCTGGAGCCAAGCCTTTTCATGTAAAAACTTATGTTTTAGTTATGTATATAGAGATATGTAATTACCCATACACATTACACATCTGGATGCACAAATGCAAGTGTTTATGGATTCCTATAATTCATATTATTTTCATATTCATAATTGAACCCTAACTTCTGTTTTTTTTTTCCTTCTCTTTCTCAGGAGAAGACCGTAAGGTATATATGAACAGAAACACCTGACTATGCTAGAATTGGAAAAAGCTTAACTGGATCTACCTCTGTGAGAATTAAGAAGGTAACATGATTAAATTACTATATTTACCTACTGAGCTTTTACAGTGGCCTATGGACCACTGGACTATCCTGTGAAGTGCAAGGAGTTTGGACATTGTGCGGGCCGGGCGCGAGCCGGGCCCTTTTTCGTGCTGCACGCGGGCTGTGGCCAGCAGCCCGGGCACGCGGGGTCGGAGAGAGGGGCGCGACAAGCTAGAATTAGGCACAGACTCGTAGCGGTAGATTTAAAGATTGTTTACTTACACGGAGATGGTTGCGGTGCAGGCTGGAAAGCTTGCTTGAGTTGAGGTTACAGACAGGAAAGAAGAGAGGCGGACAAGAGTTCTAAACTCGCGAACTCTAGCCCAATCCGGCTGAAGGCTCTAAACACGCGAGCCAGTCGTGTCAGCCGGAGAAAGTACTCATACAAAAGAGCTCTGAATAGACTCACATGAAGTTTGCTAGGCTCCGTGGAACTTGTGCTCTGAGGTAGTCCGGTTGTCTGAACAACTATGTCAGTTGTTCCAGCTGAACTCACACGAAGTTTGCTAGGCTCCGTGGGTCCGGTTCTTTTGCGCACAGGGAGGGATACGTCTAGGAATCTATCGGCGACGGGGAGAGGCTAGAGGTTGATCAGACCTCTGTTGCCTGCTTGAAATGCGCTGGGTCCGTAAGGATCCGCAGCGTTTAGAGATCTTCACACAGTGTGAAGTCTCCTCCTCCTGGTGTTCGTGGAGTCCTCCAACTTGGGCGGAAACCACTCAAGCTTTTTATACGGCTAGCAAGCCAATCACTAGCCGCTACATGTGAATAATTTAGAACTGGCCAATAATGGGGCTCGAATTAGCATACAAATGGCGGGAACTCTTTGCAATGAGCATTTCTGTGCTGCAACAAAGAAATGCACCCTGCAAAGAAAGCTACAAATTGGCGGGAAATTCTCCCTTGCACCGGGGTTTTCTTTTGCAGCAGAAAACTCCACCGTGCAAAGAAGCTGCAATTTAGCGGGAACAATTTAGCAGTGCCGAAGCACACAAAAACAAAAATCACACCCTTTGGGTTGTGACAGACATAAATTTCGGGGAAATATGTTGAGCCCTTTAAGTAGATTTACAGTTAGTTGTGCATCCATCCTTTGCAATGGATGGCACAATATTTTCTTTTGCAGATCCTGCATCTGGAACAGCTTTTACCCACTAACGTAAAAGCTGATAGATCTAGATCCACAAAAGGACATGGGTGTATGAAGCAGGACTTAAATGGACTTTGGGCACCTAAGACCAAGAGTACAATCTATAGAATATTTACTTAACCCTCTGAGGGCCTAAATTTTTATGAGTGGTCTCCCTAACGTGCATAGAATGGTGGCATTTTGCATGCCTGCAACTGTTGCCATCTTGGTCACGCTGGGCATCTTGATGGGATTTCCAAACATGGCATCCCTGGTTTCTGGGCCTACCTCACTGGATGGTTTCTGGAGTTTATTCAATTACATTCTTTTCATCACAGTTGCCCATCTTCAATAAGAAGAGTGGAGGATGCTTCTACCCAACCTGGGTGGCTAGAGTACTCTTGTAGGAGGCTGGAGATGTTGCTTGAACCAGCTCATTAATCCAGGTCTCCTACTTACGAGGTTAATGCTCTAACCACTATGCAAGGAGTAGGCAATCTATGGCCTGCAGCCTGGACATAGCCCACAGAGCCTTTGGATCTGGCTTATGAAGCCATGGCTTTGACAGTGGTTGGCAATTGAGGAGAGCAGGTGTGACTGCACACACTGTGCTACACCTGAGGACTCCAGCAGTGGGGGAGCCTTCCTAGCAAACAGGTGGCACTGGCTGTGATAGAGGGAAACTTTGCCTGTGCAACATCACACCCAGGGAGCAGTGATGGAAGTGGCCGGGCCCTAGCTCCTGCCTGCCTTGGACCTGAGCTGGGTCATTCTGGCCCCCAGCTGGAAAATATTGCTGACCCCTGTATTTTGCTATTATACAATAAGTAGGCTGTGCCTCCTCCAAAGAAAAGAATGATTGAAAGGTTGGTCTTAGGCACTAAGTCCCTAGAGAAAGTTCAGGGCTTAGTGTGGTTCACCCAAGAACTCTTTCTCTCTGCTGAGAGTGGGAGTGCTTATTGGCACATGCCCCATGTTACACTAAGGTGGCTGTTTTGGGAGATAGTTTGTTTGGAATATGGTATGCCTCAGCATGTTGCTCCCCAGTGCTTCACAGACATGCATTTGGGGGTCTTAACTCAGGCCTTGAATTCTGTTCCAAAAGCTGAGTGGAATAAAAATTAAAGGCATGCTCAGCATCATCATGACTATGTCTCTTTGTAGATCTGTGATGTAACATTTTCCTTTCTCCATGCCTCTGAATTCCTCTGCTGTGATTGTTTTTAATTGAACTCTGAAGCAGTCATGGATACAAATTGGATAAAGAAAATGACACAAAGTAAAGTTGTATGCATCAAAGACAGAAGGTTCTGAGGGCACCACAAGGCGTATAACATGTGTTGCTTCCTTCTGAGGCAGGTCATTGACAAGATACAGACAGGCAGGGTTCTCTTGTTCTGTGCTGGGTTATATGTTATGAATGATTTATCCAGCTTCATCAGTTACGTTGGAGAAGAACAAAGCTGCAAGTCCTTTGTCTTGTTTTCACCCCTCCACCTTATCTCTTTTTCTCAGTCCTTCTAGAGCACAACGTATAGTATTGCTTAGAAATGTCCAGGAAGATTCTGGACTTTAGAACTAGTGAGACTCAGTGTATTGAGTATAATTAATTTGGGGGAAATTCATCATTGTATGAAAACATCTTCTGCCTTAGCTGGTTTAGGTGTAATGCACCACTGTGGTGTGAGGGTGCACATAGTCAGGATAAATTGTCTTAATAAACTCTTTTTTATTTGGTCGAGCAATGATAATAAACTTGTAATGGTTGTGTGCACTGGCAGGCAGGTCAATAATCTGCTTCCTAAACCACTCAGAATTACATTAGACCACTCAGAAAAAAAGGCTTATTACAGTTAATCTTCCACATACATCTTTAATCTCTCACTTATATTAAACTCAGATGAAGAAAAAACTCTACCATGTAAGAATATGGTTCTCAGCAGTTGACATCACATCTACACTTTTCAAGAAAAATGACATGTTTCTGATTTGCTACTGGATTTAAATTAAACTTCACAACTCTTCTATGATGAATGGAAGGGACATATATGGTACGGAATGCAGTAGCTTCTTAGCAGTAGTGGAATATAATTGCATATATAGTGTAACAGAGAGATATAGAGAACGATACAGGGGTGTAGGTTGTAACCATGTTGGTCTAAGGACATAGGCAGACAAGGTTCTTTGGGTGAATCTGATATCTTTTATTAGACCAACTTAAATAGTTGGAGAAACTTTTTTTTTTTAAAGCAAGCGTTTGGGTTCAAGGGTTTGGTGAAGGCATCAATATTTTATTAGGATTCAGTACTTTTGAATACTCCTGCTTGTGCTGTTGAGCTCTGGAATGCTTTTAGGCTCATTGTCCAATAATACACTTAAGGGCATTCAGTACCTCAGAGTTGAGTGAGGAAGATGCACAATTTTAAGACCTGTGCATGGAATTTATTTTACTGTGGAGAATACTCCCCAGGAACTGGTATATATAATGAGTAACAGAGCTCATTTATAGATGCAGAGATGGCACTATAGAAGCGTTCTGTAAAACAAATGTTTAACACACAATTAGTATACGTTCCTTGTTTGGGACACAGTAAAAATATTTTGATACCAAAATAATAGTGTGGGCTAGATCCTCCACTTGTACAGAAAACTGACATGCAGGGAACTCTACAAACAATACTCCTGCTTCAGAGAATCAGCTGCTGCTTTAGAGTATCCAGACTCACTGGAGGCCATGAGGTGTTTGCATGGCAAGTCTCCCCAGAGATTTCAACAAAGGAGAGCAGCTTTGACTGGGTTAAATAGGATCACTGCTGGTAGAGACGGTCTGGAAAATAAGGCCTATAAAGTTTCTTTACTTAGTTTTAGTCTATTTAAATCCTATGAATGTGTACATTTTCAATGCAATATTTTTGCGATGAAGCACCTTATGTATCTTTTATATTTGCATGTTGCATTCTAAATATTTCTTTAAGAAGCTTTCTTTAAGAGCTTTTTAAAGAAAGCTTTATTTATTTCTTTGGGGATTTATAGATGCTTAAAATGTAGAGAAATATTATTTTACAAGCAAGAAAACTGGGAAACAAGAAGGTTATGCAACTTTTCCAGGGTGGATGAGTGTACCCCCTCTGGGGGGAGCCTGTTCCAAACCCTTGGCACTTGACTTTGTAAAGAAGTTTTTCCTTGTGTCTAGCCTGAAGCAATCTTCAATCAATCTGTGCCCATCATTTTGTGTCTTCCCCTGGGGGGCCTTGGTGAATTGTTGCTCCTCCAGGCCCTGATGTACACCCCTGATATACTTCTAGGCTGCCACCAAGTCCCCTCTGAGTCTTCTCTTCTCCAAGATGAACAGTCCCAAGTCTTTCAGCCTCTTCTCATATGACCTGGACTCTAGCTCTCTAATCATGCACATGGCCCTCCTTTGGACTCTCTCAAGCTTCTTCACATCCTTAGTTGTTGGTTAACTGAAACATAAAATAGCTTCTGTCTTAAATTTCTGACTTACAGTTCATACATGGTAAGAAATAAAGTGTATGTAATGGTGTATGTAGTAAGACTGTGTGTAATGGTGTTCTTCAGTGTTCTTCAGTTGTTGCTATTACTGTTTGGACTAACAAAAAAGTCTCTGCACAGCAGTAGTACCTGATGAGGTTATCAGATTCTCCTAAATTAAAGGAAACATGAAAATGACTCCAATCAGATACTATAGCTCTGTGTGTGAATGCTTATTTATTAGCTCAAAGGATAGCTTACTCCTGCACAGCTGAGGGATTTCAATCCTTCAAGATTTAGCCCTGATTCAGCAAAGTACTGAAGTACTTTCTTAGTTGTTATTGACTTCAACAGGACTT